GCAGTTTATGTATAGATTATACATTTCTATAAAAAATTTAGGTACTAGAAAATTAGGTTTTTACTATTTTAGGTAAAAGACTCTATATATATATATATATAAAATACTTGGAAAAATATCTATCTCAGGGAAGAGAGAGATAAAAGAGTGCACATTACCACGCGTAAAGTAGAAATGAGTTAAATAAAACATCACAAAAGTATAGCGAGTCATCGAAAGTAAATAAAATGTATGATAAATTGCGTGTGTAACAAAGATATTTACTCACCAGCTGTCGCACCGGCACTACCACTTGGCCAAATTCGCCAACTGTTCCATCGGCGCCAATTCCTCGGCGATTTCTGGCACCGATTCAGCTCCTCCATTCAGACAACACTCACACGACTCGGATACGAATACTCGGAAAAAATACACTAATTACGCTTATCGCGCATGGCACTTTTCTTTTCTCATGCAACGCAAAAGTCCGAGAGATAAACGTGAGACGTGAGCGAAATTAGTCGAATCAAGAAGTTGTCTCTTTTAAGACTTATTTCCTGTTTTTTTTTTTTTGTTGTTATCTAGCTTACGACGCAATATTACGTAAATATTCGATGTTTCACTCACCCTAGGAGCTTTACGTTTCTAGCAAGAATAACATAATAGTATGAGCGTACGAGTATGAAACTGATAGGTAGATTGATCGATGTGAGCAACCCGCAATACGCGATAAGCTTGGAACATGCTCTATAAAACTTGCAATTAGTTACTATTTGTTACTACTTGTATACTCTGCGCAATGTCCTGCAACGATTACTCCGATAAACCAATAAACCGCGAAAGTATGTGATTATATTGGATAGTTTTATTTATTACCTTGCGCGAGAAAAGAAGTATACGGTGCACGTTATACGTCTACATTACATTAAATGCGAATCTTAAAATAGTTGTAATCGTTAGGCCTCAAATTACCGATACAATTTAATGAAATAATTCAAAATATTTTTAATGACTTTTCGGAGAATGCAGGATTGTTGAAAACTTTTGCGGTTTCCTAATATTCGTCAATTCTCACTTGTTGAAGAATTAATTTTAAAACTAGAACTAATTTAAAAACTAATTAAAGTATTGAGATAAATGGATATTGAGATACGAGAGAGAGAGAGAGAGAGAGAGAGAGAGAGAGAGAGAGAGAGAGAGAGAGAGAGCTTGTTTTATGTACAGTCAAGATTAATCAAAGTTTAATCATTCCATTTGAGCGTTATAATATCAATATATATCAATGCACAGATTGTACGCGATTAAGAGCTTAAACAAAGCGCGTTTATTTATTCTCGATAATAATAAAAACAATAGCAATATAATGCTCGATTTGCAGGACGATCGACAATGTACGACGCAGGTATATGCATATGCGTGACGACAAAAATAAATACGACAGACATTTTGACAAGAACGTCATGCACTCTGGCGCAAGCCGCACATGTAATACGCGGTACATACCAAAAACACGCGCGACTAAATGACAAGCACACAAGCACACAAACGCGATATTATTATACCAATTATCGCCTGGATCGGGACGATTGCCGATACAACACTGTTATTATTATTTATATATAAGCTATAATTGTTAATTCAGCAAATGAAAAATACGACGATTTTGCTCTGATCCCGATGCGCGAGACGAAACTAAGATGGCGGACTCGCGCGGCGACTTGCGCGCATTACGCATCGACTGTATACTGTATTTATCGAAAATTAAATGTCGTGTTTTTCTCCTTCTTTTTTAATATGTCCGTTAGATTACATAGTATATTATTCAAATCTCGCCAAATGACACGATTTCGCGCGCTAACAATATTACATTGTTCGTATAATAACGAAATCTTTGTAACTAAATCTTTTCTACAGCGTGTATGTACACATTAGTATTATTTTTATTCGATCCCTTTACTTAGTCGCGATCAAAATTATTCGAATGCATCTAGACAAATAAATATCTCGTATTACAAAATTATTCGAATGTATCTAGACAAGTAAATATCTCGTATTACAATAACCTTTTGAAAACATCATGCAAGTTATCGAAACGATCGTGCAAATTACAATCGCGCAGTCGACTTACAATCGATAATTGTCAATTCAAATCCGTTTACTTGTCGAAGCTTTTCCTTGACACTTTTGCGATTGATTCGATACGCACAGTCTCACTATTGACGAATAAAAATGACACGAAACGCGGAGCGACGTTGCCGCGCGACAATGAACCGATCTGATGCGACGCTACATGACGCAACGAGAAGCACAGCGCCAGGAGACAAAGATGGCGGTCTCGCGCGACAGCATGCGCGCTGAACTTGACGTAGCGCTTTATTAAAGCATTTGTTATATCCTTCGACATCCTCATAAATATCAAAAAAACTACGCTATTTAGGAGGATCTCGAATAAAGACCGAAGTCGAGCACTGCCATTTTTCGACAAAATTTTTAGATGGATGTCGGAGATGCAATTCGGAAAATAGCACTTGGTACGACGTGCAATTCACTGACAAACTCTCTTCTTTGAAAGAAACACGAGAATCGCTTTGACATTTAAAAAAAGAGATTAATCGTTACGCTAGGCTTCCTGAAAAGTACTCGGAATCCATTTTTCTTACCTATTCCATTGAGTTCTTTTGTTTCTGGCGGCAACTTAGTCCATTTGTCGAAATTACGTTCATTCGACAAAGCACGAGAGAAAAATAGGCTATCGCCGATGAATCTCGTGAAATTTTATCCAAGTTTCTTGTTTCCTTTCTCCCGCAGACCGAGAGAAAGAGAGGCAGAGGGAGGAAAGGCGAGGGAGGAGGGAGGAGTGTGCACAGCTTGCGCCGCGTTAACTCTAATGCTCTCTCGACTTTAAATTTTCTAATAAGAAAATAACAGAGCTTTTTATCACGATTCTGTGCGATATTACAAAATAATAAAATGCGGTGTAGGATACCGCGTGTGTAATAAATGCCTGTAACGATCTAATTTTGGTGCGTGTGATCAATCATCGAGAACATTCCAATGTAATTGCGAAAGCATTGCCACGAACATAAAACTTGTCGTGAAATCCAATAAATATTTCAAAACGAATGTATCTTATTATTGCAAAAATTATAAAAATTGCGAGCACATTTACCACGTCTACTAAACGTTCGAGTAATTCGAACTAATGAATCGAGTTGGTTTCCGCGCTATGCGAAATTGCCGCTGCTATACAGAAAGAATTCGACGAAGAAAGAACGTATGACGATGGGATTTATTTTGTAAGCTCTTTTCCCATTTAGCAGATACAATGAAACTCGAGTCATCTCTACCTTAAATAGTTCCGCGTAATTAACGTTCTCTGTCACGGCAAGATTAATCCTTCTCGCGGAAGACTGCGTTGTTGGGACATGGCTCTGTAACTCTGTAATCTTTAATCTGTAGCAATAATTAAAACATTCTCATAAAAACACTTCACAAATGTTCAGCATCGAGCTGAAAGTCATGATTGAAAAGGAAGAGACCGTTTTTTTATCCCATCATATCCCAGATCAATATCCCAGAAAAGAATGTAGGAGAAATATTCACAGCCTAGTAAGTTCTTAAAGAAACTAGCAAGAATTTATTGTTGTTTATTTTTAAACCACCGTCTCGCGATCAGAAAACTCATCGTTACTCCGTAAATTCTCGATTATTTCTAATCAACGATAAAGCAACGGAAAATTTGCTATCCTATATAATATGAAACGTTGAATAATGGAATTAGAGCGTAATAAAAATGTTCTTACGAAATAAAAACAGATCCTTTCTTCCAACACCATTTTCTCTTTTCTTTCTAGGACGTTCATTTTCTAGAGGACTTTATTTACTATACTTATCTATTTATATTTTTACAAGTGTGAAAGCTAAAAAGTCACCATCTTTCGCATTTGAATTTGATATCCCATTTTTAATTTTGTTAACAAAATACAAAATGCAATGAAACAAAATACAATGAATAAGACAAATAACAAAATACAATGAATATATTGTATATAATATTGTATTATTTATTAATTATAAAAATATTAAATTGATCATATTGCAATTATAAAAATTGTCGAAAATGCTTCGATATTCTAAAATTTAAAGAGTCAAATTCAGATGATTGATTGATAACATCTAATATATCTATGTTCCAATGCAACTTATCTGAATGTATATCATTTGTACAGCACATTTCACATCGCATAACGTTGTCAAGATATACAAGGTGATTAACACATTATCTAAAGTAATTTAAGGTTTCAGATATCGGATTTATTTGACAATCTAGTTACTTAATTAATTTGATAATATAAAACTGTTTCACTCGCCCACGTATTTATTAAGAAGAAAGATAACGATAAATCCAATGATTACCAACAGAAATTGTAAAATACCCGCAAATCTGCGCGGACTTTTATGCCATTTCGATCTTTCCCTCGGGAGAACTTCGCTCACGGTAACGTACAATAAAGTTCCACCTGCCAGACCTTGTAAAATTGGTAATACTATCTTTGACCAATCTGTATTCATCTATGCATTCAAAATAGTAAAATAAAATTGAGTCTTCTTCAAAACTGTCTAGCTTAGACATCCGAATAAGAACTTGTCGAAAGACATGTCTTTTCTTACCTGAAATGTCAGCATGCCGATGCCGATTCCGATCACGGATCCAATGGCAAATAGAAAAATCACAAATAGTAATCTAGGAATAGATTTACTGACTCCTGCTAATTCCAGTCCCAAACAGAATCCAATGACAAATTTGTGTGACGCTACGGCTCCAGTTAATAATAATACCTAGAAAAAAGTAGGTAGTATTTACTTATTAACGTTATATGCAATATATAAAATCGATTCGAAAATTATCAGAGTTTGATAAAGTTGAGATTGCGAAAAACGTCTCACATAATGCGTCTCATACACGAATGTTACATGTTGCGAGACACTTTACGTAATAATGTCTCGTTGACTCGTTATTTCGATTTGTTTCATAAGTATGCAATGTAACGAGAATGTATATGCAGATATAATGCATATAATATCTGCTCCCTTCCCCCTCTCGTTCTCTCATTATTTAGATTTATTAATTAAATTTACACACATTTGAAAATTATGCAAATTCAATGCAAATATAATATAGGAAAACAATCTCGTCGCAGATCTACATCTCTTTATTCGTCATACTATTATCCAGTAGCTATTCATTTCTTTTTTTCGCATTACTATTTATTATTTAGATAATAATCAGCACTTCGCATACCTCGGCGATTTTTGTTTGCAATCCTATCGCAAGACCTTCGAGAACAGCGTGTACGGTCAGGGCGAGAGCAAGACCAGCTAAACCGGTGTTGGCATCGGTACATTGCTCGCCATGATTTCCGTGACATAAAAATGTGTCTTCTTCGCTCAATGACTTCGAACGACAGGGAGGCTCGTGTGCGACGTGACGTGTTGCACCATAATTACTAAATATCCATGCATTATTGGCATTATTACCAAGAGAATTTTGTTGTTGATAGTTAAATGGTAATCTCATATTCTCCTCGGATACATAAACCTTGCTATCTTGCGTGGCAGCATTGTAATCGATACCATGGAAGTGATTCCGACAGTTCGAACTACTGAAATCCAAAATGGTATTTTTAATCGCATCTTCCGTTATTAAATATGTCCCTCCCATGCGTCAACATTGAAAATATTGAGGATTATGACATATATAGAGTATTACGCCATTATATTGTTACATCATTATTACGAAAAGATAATGAAAATACAATGCATTTTAATCACTTGGAATCTCTTGTGTTGCAAAATTGTATTATAATATATTATGTGTACATAAATAAAATTTCCAAGGATAAGACATTGGATGATAACGAAATATTCGAGTGTGTTCGACGTCAATACTTGTTGCAGATAGAAAGACATATGAGCGTCGTGGTAATCTTGAGAATAGACAAGTCGGAAGTTGATATCGAGTATCGATGTCCAACGCGCGACTTGCCAATGATGATTCTGTGCGCATGAACATTACTATGATGCAAGTTCGCACTCGGTTCATCGTGTTCATTTTTCATTTTGATACAAGGTATTTTCATGAAGGTCAAAGATAGCTCGAGAGCGACTGAACGACATAAATCGTTTTACACGAGATATCGCTACCGTTCGTTTTAATACGAAAATTTATTTCGACAAATTTCACACGATCGGCCACATACAGAGTCAAGTAATAAAAAATAATGTTAGCTATTGTTTCGTCTGAAATGGCGGCCATTAATTTATCTCGAAAATGAACACGTAATCGTCCACGAAGAAAGGATTAAATTCTGATGACGGAGAAACTGTCGATGGAAAATTTTTTATTCTAATTTCACTCTAACGCGAGTGCGACTGAAAATTGTGAAAATTATTCAAATGAGATTTTATCTCGCAATCAAATCGAGAATGTGAAAAGATAATAACAATAATAATAAAAAGAGATAATTGGAAAATTATTATCAATAGCAATCATGAAAGGTTTCTTTAAATCAAGTTGCATACATATCATAGCGATTATTTTCCTTCATTTGCGAATCTTTAATTTTGCATCTCAAGTTGTTCATATATCGAGTTATCGCGACATCAAAAATAGCTTACGAGTACGTATATAATTTTCATATTTCTATGAAAAATTATAGTCTTGAAAAATTTCGTTCATTATGAACAAATCATCTCGCTCATCTCGCTGCCTATCTATAATGGACGATATACATATATCACGTGAAATCCGAAATAATGTAAAAATATTTGGAAAAAGGCAATTATAATATAGCTTTCGAGAGGGGATACGCGCGAGAATGGATTTGCCATATAATATTGTACGCATGTAATTGTAAATCTTCTGTAACGGATAATTTTCATCCGTCCGCGTACGAAGTTCTTGTAGAGTTTTATAAAGTTTATAGAGCTTATAGAGCTCAAAAGATGCCTTGTACCTACCTTGTACTTTGTTCGTGTGCGAGCCTAGGCCCCCTAGTGAACGATCTGGAACAAGGATCCGTCGTCTCGGGTCTGTTATCATCGTCGCTTCGACAAAAATAATGCACACATTCCTCGATGAAGTATAGCGCGAGAAAGCCGCAGGAGAAAACTAACTCGGCGTAATCCGGTAGACGCTCGCGCACTTCCGGCAGTACGTGAAGAATCGCGGTAGCTAACAGGACACCGGCGCCAAAGCAAAGAGCGCAGGAGAGTGACAATTTTCGTTGGAGATGATGAGCGCGCGAGACAAAGCAGGCGGGTACGATGCCAATGACGAAGCTGCCGGCGCCAATCAGCATCATCGAGGCCAGTTTCGCTTGTACGGCGTTGTTGAACATTGCACGCTATTGTTACGAGCGAGTTATTTCCGACGCTTATTTAGACGCGCGACGATGACGATGGTAATGCTCGGCGGTGATTGCCGCAAAATCCTTTGTCGTATATCGATATCATCTGATACCACCGGATCCTGGGAATTCACAGAAATTTCACCAATTTTTCGAGCCTCGCACCGCGGCAAGAAAAACTTTTGACTTTGAGGAAAACAAGCGTCACGATAGCACGATGAACGCGCGCGATGTCTCGCGAGGCGCGACTTTAATCTTCATCGCGACGGCGATGATAACGCTGATAGAGCCCCCCCCCCCCCCCCGACACTGGGCATCCGCTATCCATCTATGTGGACATTGGCGAGAGCTACAATTTTATCATTAATCTCTTTCGATGACGTATGCATTATTAAGGATCTAATAGTTCTAGTTTCAATTTTGACCTATCAATACGAGATGATGATGTGAGACTCTATACCTCTATCTGAGCATCTCTAAGAGAAACATTTGTCGATACTCGAGAGAAAAATCGATCGAAATATCGGTCAGACATTATAAACTCTTAATAATGCCGTATAACACTGTATATTAGATGAGATAAGTCCACTCTTTTCATTCAAAGCCACCATAATGAAGGCATCATTGCCTTCATAGCTAAAAACAGAATCAGCATTGGCGATAATATTCGCGCGTGCATGAGAGCGATAAGCGATATTCCCGAAAAAGTCTTACAGGAAAGCTGACGAAGTCGCTTGCGACACACACACACACACACACACACCTCGAGATACAATTCAGTGAACTTAAGGTTAGGCGTGCATGTATGCGTGCGTGCGTGTAACCGCATGTGCATGTGTATGTACAGAAAAAGCATATTCATTTTATATTCCTCTTTAATAAATTTTTCATAGGTTCAAGGAAAAGATACATGCTCGCGGCACGTACACATGTATACGCATTTCATATTTCATATTTCAGTTATACTTTAATCAATAGTTTCAATAGTTCAATAGTTTCAAAGTTTTAATATCAATATTTTGATATCTATCATTTGACGATACATATCATTCATAAATTTTCACACTTGTACTTATACATGTACTTATACATGTACTTGTACATCACAGCTTGCAATATACACGTGTAGTATGTTAAGCCAGCAGCACACGATGCTTTTTTTTCTTGCTAGTTTGCTAGCTGGATTCGCGTGCTTGTGAACTCTTGTCTTCGATTGGTATATTTTTTTAAATCCAAAAGAATATACCAATCAGAGACAAGAGCTCACCGAGCACACAAATCCAACTAGCAAATCAGCAGGAAAAAAAGCATCGTGTGCCGCTGGCTTTAAATATTATAAATCAAGCCGACATCTTCGAGGGAAAATCGTAACGCACGCGAATATCTCATCTAGTTTCAATTGATCTCTTTTCTGTGTAGTCGAATTGATGTATGTACACTCGCATACTTAAAATGAAATAGGATCTGTTCTTTTTATCTGAACTGACTGCACTAGTCCAGAATTTACCTTTTTTTCTTCTAGTATAAGAAAGAAAGATAAACTGTGAACTAGTACAATTCTTTGGTACAACCAGTTCAGCCAAAAAGAACAAGTCTATAGATACGTAACAAAGGCGAGATAGAAAATTTTGTGCAGCCCAGTGCAGGAACAGAAAACGAACCCATTGGCTCGATGCGCATGCATCAGCGCACGGTCGAACGCGAATCTTCTGCCTTCATACGTGCTGTGGCGGTCCCCCGCTCAT